AAGGAGTCTCTCAAAAACTTCCTTTATTCGTCATTGCTTGGCACAATTGCGACTTCCTGGGCATATCCTTTTAACAATATATTTTAATAATGACAACTATTTTTAAAACAATTTCTTTCACTACTCTATACCATATTCCAATATAACTAAATATGTCTTTATAAAAGACCTTGAAGTTACATAAAAACCACTAACAAAAAGTAGATGTGCCATCTAGTGGGCTTGTGAGGGAAATCAATGTAAAAAGTATGCAGTTTTAAAAGTCTATAATACAGTAAGCCCGGGCAATCGGAATCGCATTACTGTTATGCATTACTGTATTTCCGTGTGTACTCGTATGAACATTTTAATAAAAATGTACTTGAATTATAAATTTTTATATTCCTACATATATCACAAAAGAGAATTCATGCGAACGAACTATCATTTCTCTGTTAGAAAAGATGACACAATTGCCTATAAGAGACTAATTTATAACTAGTCTGTATTTACAATTTTAATTAAACTCGCAGTGAGGGCGTGACCAAACCAGTGACGTATCCAGCTAGAAATTAGGAATAGATATCCTCTTTCACAATATAATACATAATACAAAAATTTTAGTGAATTACAGAATTCCTTGACAGAATCTTGGCTATACCACCCACCCGATCATATAAAAGAGATTCACTTAATCAATGCATGAAATTATATTATATATGTGTAAGCTCTCTCTAATTACAATTTTCTCTCTTCTTTTGTTTTTATTTATTGTATTAATGTAAACTAATTGGATTATATATCATATTTGTTTACGCTATATTTTTTATATAAGTATATTTTAGGTACAATTCAACAATAAGATTGCATTTAAATAATTCACTATCCAGTAACTGCTCCATACGGATTAGTTACTCTCATGTGTAGAGAACTAGTGTATAAAACGGATTGGTTTGTGACTAATCTTAGATTGATTTATCTTCATAGAGAGTGGATACTATAAACAATCTATTTAAATTATATTCTATAAGTTTATTAATGTGTCATTTGATTAAGATTTGAAAATTGCTGATTAGTTTTAATCATGTAAATAACGTATAGTATATTCTACATGCACTATTGCGAAATACAATATATGATCTGGTAATGCTTATTACCAATTAAAAAAAAAAACTTTTTAAAAGTTTCTTCATACAAATCAAATGGTTCGAATGAATAAAGAATATAATTTTATTTCCATTTTAACCTATAGAATAAGCCTATTTAACTACGCAATACACTAAGTTCTCGTTTTTGGTACTTTAATGGTTTCTGTTGGATTTGAGGTTGCTAAACTCAAATTTGCTCCCGCTTTTCTTGTCAACATCTTCTGGCAGCAATGGGTTAAAGTCCAACAGTTTAGGTTTTTAAGTGTTAGTAACAATTTTTGCATATACAAACTTACTACAAATAAATAGATAAACATTTTTTTCGTAGATATCCTTCATTATAATCCACTTCTTCCTTCTTAACAAAAGGGAGTCCCCAAAAATTCCTTACAATGGGGTTTTTCTATAATGCGATTTTATAAATATATATAAAATCGTTTCTATCGAATGTGAAAACAGAAATTTTCAGAAGAATATTTAAGATTTATCAATTTATACGCAGCAAGCTTGCTAAAGGCATGAAATTCGTTAATCAGACAATTTTTTAAACCTTAAATGTAAAGGATTTAAATTTTAAACTATTATTGCCAAAGACCCAAATATCTATGAAAAATACGGCTTAGATAGATAGTGTCATAAATAATCACAAAGTGACGTTATTATATATATATATCATAACAATAGTCAAGTAAAATCTCCAGAACACATCTTTAATGCTGGGATTGTCGTTAAAATTCACTAACAGTCGAAAAGTAATCCCATAACTATAACCACAGAGTAAAGGATATGTAACAGTGACAAATTAGAGACACTAAGTGTGTCTAAAGTATTACAGAATTTTTAAGGTATCCGTTATCAGGTTTCTTAGTAGCGATGTTATATAGCAAATATATAAAAATTATATCTATTAAGTTAAAATTTATGTTTATCTTGAATTTTTACCCGATGTTTCAATGGGTTTTTCTGGAAGAACTTTAAACTTAAGTGGCAATAAAACAATAACCACTTTTTTAATACTATACTTTCATTTACATAACATATAGGTATATCCGTAATCTGACCTACTAACAGTGGCAATAAGAACGAATAAGAAGGTATATAAGAAGGAATAAAGTGATTCTGAATATTTGTGACCTTTTAGACAAATGTTAATAAATTACAACTATAAAAGGGCTTAATATATAATATATTTAATATAGTATATTAATTTTATACCCAACAAAAGATTTTGTATTGTGACGGCAGTATATACGGTTACTACAGTGGTGTGGGGACATTACCATATTCGCGGCTGCTCCGAATTACGAATTACACATATAACCTTTTACGCTTACTTTCATTAATATATATATATATATATATATATATATATATTAATATGTTTTTAGCAGCAGTTAGGAAGCAGTTTTATTGATTGTTTTAAAAGCTAGTATGGAAGGAATAGCAAAAAAAGATTTTTTGTTGCATTTTATCGTACATTATTAAATGCAACTATATCTAGTATATAATTGACTTTTTGAAACAGATTAGTATTGATTGGTATTGATTGTTATAATAGCTATTAATTAATAATACCCTTCTGGAAAGCATTGCGGAAATACGTTGTTTTTGCAAAATTTTTGTAGCAGGCACAACAATAAGAAAATTAATTTTAAAAACTTTTGCTTTTTTATATATATATATATAAAATTTATAATATATGTATATAACTCATGATATATATGATATCATGATGATATCCTTCAAGGGTGTTCATATGTTCATATTAGTACCCTTCGTCAACTACAACTACTATAAATAGAACTATAAATAGAACAATCTCTCAAATCCAAATAATATAAATTTATTTTAAATATTATATATATTTTTTTTTTATCACATTTTTAACGCTAGTGTTGCGGATAGCAATTCCTACACAAAGTCTTTACAATGGGTGCCTTCAGGAAGTCATTTTAGGATTTTTTTGCACTATGTTGAATTCTACAGACACTTTAAGTATCTTTAATTTCTTTTTACTTGTTTAGTGCTGTAATTATAAGGTATCTATTTACACATAAAGAAAAAGTTTCGTAGCCAAATTCTGAGTATTCAACACTTTCTAGTAATAGATAGTACACAAGGTAACATCGCAGTTGTTGCAAATTTGTTGTTATTTTTCTTTACATTGTTTTGCTGTTATTAAATATATAGCACTCTTCGAGAAAGTATCGTGACTTAAACAAAAAATTTTTTTTCACCATGAAACCTAATATCTATGCAACTTTATATATCTTATTTTATAGATCTTATTATAACTCTAAATTATTTATTTGGAATTAGCATAGAAATAACCGAGATCACCTTACAAAACTAGTGGTTGTAGGTTTTATAAAGCAGAAAATAAATTTTCAAAACGCATACTTGAAGTATACCTCTGTGGATGTCTCTAATCGGATAAAGAAATGAAACTCTGTAATATAGGTTCAGTACTATAATTTATAGAGGAAGTAGAATTTAAACAAATAATTTAATTTCATGAGAGAAGCACAATATATCATCACTGGGTCGCAGTGCAAATTCTCTCAATATAATAATAAATAATAATAACATGAAAGTAACATATATTCTATCTATTATTTTGCATATTCTCATGATGATATCCTATGTGAGTACCTGAACTATATTCAGATTTACTTCTAATATATTATACTAAGTCATTTCTACAAAATACAGTCACATCAACCGAAATTTTATGAAATAACATATAGGTATTTGTCTTTCATTTTGCACAATTTTATGATGATGTCCTGTAAGGGTACCTAGACCATATTTAGGTTTAACTCATGCGTTACATATAACGCGTTTACGTGTTATGCCAAGTGGTTACTGCACGCAAGCCTACCGAGATATTATTATTTATTATTCTGCACAATTTCATGATGATGTTCTATTAGAGTTTAGGATCAGGTTCTTATATAGTTTCCCATTGTAAGTTGCATGTCAAATTGTGTTTAAACAATTCGCAATCAGTTTTAACGAGATTATATAAAATAATATATATTTATTCTAAATTTTTTTGACGATATCGTATAGGATGCAGACACACTCGTTTATAAAGTTTCACATTGCATGTTTAATAACAAATTATTACTTCAAAATGCAATCAGTTCCGAGAAATTATAAAATAACATATATACTGATAGGGTTACTTAAGGCCTTTTTTGAAGTAACGTTTATATATATTTAGTATGGTGCACAATTTCATAACAATGTTTTATGAAAGTGACTAAGCACTATATACGCTTGCCTTGTAGGTGGTACGCCAAGTTGTTTTTGTAAAATGCAGTCAGACCCACTAGGATATTATATAATAAAATAACATATATTTATTTATTGTTCTGAATTATTTCATGATGATATCTCATAAGTAATAATATAGCTTGGTAATAATTTCTTAGACACACCACTCCCATTTTGTTATACAAACCAATCTATATGACTATTAATTTTTTTGTGAGGATACTCTATGTGAAAAAAAAATATAACACTGGATCTTTGACTAGAGCTAGTATAATAGTTTGCTAAAGCATCAACTTAAAACTATGTCTGACTTTTGGAACTAAATGTTCCTTTAAAAATGTTCCTTGACAATAGAGTAAATGACTTAATTTCTCCACTTGGACATGGAAAGCGTATAATGCCTCAGCTGGGATTTAAATATAGAGAAAAAGACTTTTTGTATTTCCCACGAGCTTATATATAAAAATTTTATTAATTCTGTTTTTTTTTTAAATTAATTTTTTGTATATTAATTAAATTAATTGCATTTTAAAGAACTTTTATTGTTGCCTCAGATGAACGATTACTTTGAGAAATTTTCTTAATTAAACTCACCTTGAATTTTATAAGCTGCTGCCAAAAGGCAAACTGCGACCAAAAGAAATTTTAAATTTTGCGACATATTTTTAATGATTTTTTTTTATTCTTAATAATATTCAATAAAATATATATTTCAATATTTGAATTATTTATTAAGATGAAAATTAAGTTCTTCAATTTTTTTTTTTTACTCTCGTTATTGAACGCTTTTAAGTCGCTTGATTTTGTAAAAATGCAAGGTTCATTAACAACACCAAGTCAAAGAATTATCAGCGAAATTGTTTAAAATTTTCCGGTTTCCGTTAAATATCAAAAAAATTTTCAAATTTTCAAATTTTCAAATTTTCAAAAATTTATAAATTTTTCTGAAAAGATGCGTGTATCGAACGCGTTAGAGCAAACGTTTTGCGGTTTGAATTTTTCAATGAATTTTCGCTTGAATGGATAGATTCAGAATTCAGAATTTAGAATTTTCTTTGCGAGAACACCGAACTTCTACGATGTAAACACTTTCTCAACTGAACTGCGAGTGAAGCGTTCGCTTGCCAACTGTAACGGAAGAAGCTACAAACGACGGCGTAATCATTTTCACAATTACGTCATCAAAGCTGGCATGCGGCACTGCTAGCTGCTGCTTGGCGTTGCTATGCGCCGCATGGCGTAGCGCTGCTTTCGGCACAAACAATCCGAACTCAGTGCAGCAGCATTCATACGCAATGTGTTCCCCTTTTTGTCCGATATTTATTGTTCGGGTCGGTTTTTTTTTTTTTTTGAATTTTAATTGAAAATTAGTTTGGCGCGTAAAAATTTTCTTTCACATTTTGAATTTGTAATTTCCTTTTTTGCAAACCCGTGCGTTATGGAAATCTAAAAACAGGACACAATGTTCTGTTTAAAGTTCGTTGAGTTTTTATAATGGCGCCACTGGGTCCAAGTCAACTGGCACTTGGCGTGCGACAAATTGATTTTTGTCATCGTAAAGGCTTTAAACTTTCTCGATTTTTAAAATTAGAACTGCATTGTTTTTATTCCTTTATAAATAAATATTTAATCAAGCAAATTGTTAAATATTTTCAAAACAGATTTCAAGGTAAACTTAAATTTATATATAGAAATATATTTACTTGGCGCCATCAGATATGTTTATGAAATTCCTGAGAATACAAAGGTTCTCCTTTAATTTGCTCACAGTTTTCAAGTGATTGTTAATTTAAGTTTGCAGCTTTTCACCCAATTTATTTACAGTTTTATATATATAAGTATATTTACTTGGCGCCAACAAAAATATGTATGAAATCTCTGAATACTTATCTTCTCCTTTAATTTGGTTACAGTTTTCAAGTGATTATTATTTTCAATTTGCAGCTTTTTAATAAATTTGCTTACAGTTTTAAAGTAGTTATTAATTCAAGTTTACAGCTTCTCCTTAAATTTGCCTACAGTTGTCAAGTTACTGTTAATTAAAGTTTGCAACATTTCCTTAAATATGCACGCAGTCTTAAAGTGACTGTAAATTTAAGTTTAAAATTTTTTCTCCATAGTTTTCAAGAAGTCCTTATTTCCAGTAACTTTTTTAACTGGTAAAATTGTCTTTAATATTTATATGTTACGGAATGATAGACCTGCCATCCTGTTTTGCTAAAGATTATTCTGTTGAATTACATTTCATTATTGATGTAATTCATTATAGTATGTACATATAAAATAATTTGTAATGTAATGTTTTTAGTTTTTTAAGATTCTAAAATCCATTGTTAGGTTTAAATTTAAAGCGATTTAATAAAAACATATTTATAAAATAAAAAAACAAAAAAATTTTTTTATACGCAACATTTACTACAACAAACTATCATAAAACTTTTACTATCTATTAACTACGAGGTTATTTCATAACCCCTCTCTACGCCTTGATTGGATTATTGTTTATAACTTCATCAGACTAAGGAATAACTGACCTCAGATCTGCACACATCCCCGAGGTGCCTGTAACCACTGTGAGATTCGATAACGCGGTGTTAGTAAACCTGTCAGTTTTCGTAAATAATTTCGAAGCTCTATCCTTTATATATTTTTTGATCGGATAAATCTTGTGGTTCCTGAGGAAGTCATTCGTCCTTATGTACCATGGTACTTTGAAAAGTCTTCTCAGAGCCTGGCTGTGTGCAATTTCTAGCTGACGCCAAGATTCTAATTAAATCGTATAATGAGTTTTTTTTTTTACGAATTTTTTTTTTTTTAGATTTCTTCCACTCTTTGATGTATTATATTATTTATGTATTATTAAGTTTCTTTTCAATAGTAACTTTCAATAGTTTAATTCAGAAAGTTATTGAACTCAAAAAAAAACTTTTGACTTTCTAAATACAGACAAACTTCCATAACTCGAATTTCTTATAACTAAATAGAACTAATTAGAGTACAACAGGGTTCAGTGAGCAAATTACATACAATCACAAAAAATTTCTTTAACTCGAAGTCTCCTTAAGTCGAAAGTTTTTTTTGCAAAATGGTGTTTCGAGTTATGGAAGTTTGAGTGTATTAAAAAATATTCTATTGCTAAAAGGTGTCATTATTAAAGTATGAAATATAACTTTTAATATTTTAGTGTTGAAAGATATTACTACCAAACTGTTAGTTAAAAGTTTTAAGCTGTAAATTAAAAAAAAATTGATTAAATAGTGAATTTATGATTAATTAATTAATGTGTTTTTAAACGAAAAGATGTATTCACAAAACAAAAACTGAAAAATGCATTTTTAATCTAAAATATAGTTGTCTTGACATTCTAAATTCATTTTACAATTACAATTTAAATCATACAGTTTTAAACAGATTGGAAAAATTAAAAGAAGCTTTTTAAGGTAAGGAGCTTATTGTTTCATAGTAAAGTAAATACCAGCACTTTTAAAACTTTTTAATATTATATGTTTCAAATAATTTTACAAATGTTGCATCTTTTATAAAATAAATAAATAATAAGAATTTTAATAAATATTTTATTGTTTCTTTTGTGAACAAAACTATATAATAATTTACGATTGTTCATTTAAATATAAATAAAAAAAATTTTAATTTATTATTTATATTTGAAACAAATTATATTTTATTAAGATATTTTTCGACCGATATTTCAACTATTTTCGATAGTCATCTTCAATCAAACTGTAGAAATTTTTAAGAAGAATTTTAGAATTAAAATTTTTTAGAATAAAGAATAAAGTATATACCAAAAATCTGCTTCCACAAATTTCAAAAATGTTTTATATATATGTTAAATAAATATTCTTCAGAAAATATATTTCATTTTATATAAAATTATTAAAGGTATTTATTAGTAAAAAAAATTAATAGCAAAATACTAGCTCATTAAAAAAAACTTTTTTTTAAAAATATATTTTAAAAAACTAGTTATCGCAATACATTAAATATATAAATATTCTACAAAAATTAGTTTTTTTTTTATAAAATATTCTCGAAGAAAAAAGTTATTAATTATTAGCTCGTTAAACAAATTTACTATTAATTAAAGAACTTTGATACCTACAGATTCTTTAACGTGCAACTTTCGATCGTCTTAATTGGTCATGCTTTACTATTCCCAGAAAGGTTTGTAAACAGCCTTAATCTGTGCAGATTAACTGACACTCCTAGGTACTCCTAGGAGTCATCTTAGGAGTACCTTTCCTTTTAAATCCTTTCTTCGAATAACGATAATATAATAATAACAGAAATTTCGAAATTTACAGGTCATAATACTGCTACCACAGTTTTCATAGGAAATCCTAAGATAAAAAGATACAGACTAAAATCATCCCATCGAATTTAGTTAACTTAATAGTTTTTTCGTCCTTACCATTGAACAGTCTGATAAGCTGTCAAAAAAATTTTTCCCAAAGAATCCACTTCTTCTGAACCCAAAAGCCGGATATTCACAGAGAAAACGTTTAATGGTTTCTTTTTTCTGCAGGTTTTCACAACTTCTACAGTGAGGATTATAGGGAACGCATGAATTTTAAATTTTTTTATTTATGTTTTATTCTCAATAATTTGTTGTGTTAGGAATATTTGATATGAAAGTATTTTTTCGCTATCATGTAACGGTTTCGAGAGTAACGGTTTCATGTAACATAGTCGAGAGTAATGTATATATTGGGTAATATAAGAAGTATCCATACATTTGATATCTATATATCTGACAGCACTAATCTGCTTATACCTAACAAATACTAATATTATTAATGTTAATATTTTTGTGGTAGAATATTTGACATGTAACCTCTATTTGAAAATGAAAATCTCAATGCTAAGAACAGAAAACTGATATATAACCAAATAATTCGTCCGTCACTTCTATATGGTTGTGTAGCGTTTAGCAAAGCTTCAAACACTACTATTCACCAGCTAGAAATTGCACAAAGCCAGGCTCTGAGAAGACTTTTCAAAGTTCCATGGTACATTAGGACGAATGACATCCTCAGGGACATCAAGATTAATCTCATCAAAAAATAAATAAAGAATAGAGCCCTGAAATTATTTGCGAAATCTGGCAAACTTACCAACACCGCGTTATCAAATCTCAGAATGGTTACAGGCTCCTCGGGGAGGTATGCAGATCTGAGGTCAATTATTGCTTAGTCTGATGAAGTGATAAACAATAATCTAGTCAAGGCGCAAAGAGGGGTTTTGAAGAAACCTCGCAGTTAATGGAGAGTAAAAGTGCTTAGGTGCACTGACTAAACTAGCCCTAACAGAATGTAATATTTATTATTTTCTGGGTTGTAGCTTTTCTTTGGTTAGACTCTTCTATGGCACTCTACATATCTCGATTGATATTAATATAGTAAAAAATAAGTAATAGGTTCTCTTTTCATGTCTTATTCGAAGTCCACACATTCGACATGCATATATTATTATAGTAAATAAATATATGTGCGGTAAGTATGAATAGAAGTAATGTCCAAACTGTGTCCAAAAAATATTCCAATTTGGGCTGCAAAGCGCAAAAATACGGTAACTTTTGATTTCTGTCCAAATAAAGCAAAAACTGTGTGAGTAACATATCAAATTAAAAATGAACCTGAATTCGTGTTCTGTGTTGAATAT